GGGGGGTCGCCCGTCAACGCCTATTTCGTCAAGTACCGCAAGGTAACGGTCGGCCGGCGCGGCGCCGGAACGCCGGCGCCTTGGTTTGGGTTTCTCCAGGAGCGGTTGCGGCGCCGGCGTTGCCGGGGCTGCGGTGTCAGGCCGGGGAGAGCAGAGGCGGTGGTTGAGCCGCGGCGTTGCCGGGGATGCCCCAAGTTGTCTGGGGGTGAGGTGGATCCAGCAGGGCCCCCGCGTTTTTTGGTTCCGTCACGGTACCGTCGTGGTCCGCGGGGAGCTCGAGGGCACGGCGTGAAACCCGCGTTGGCGCGGGCGAGCTTGGAGCTGGTGGGCCCGCGTGAGGTCAGGAGGGGAAAAGAATGGATCAAGGAGTTTGCTAAGAGACTCTCTCAAACCCAAGTGATCAAATCCGAAGGAGAACTCAAAATTTCCTGAGCAGATGCTTCTCCCATCCTTAAAAACGGAGCGTCGACAGGGAGCTCCCCTGATTACAATCAGGACCGAGCGATGCCTGCGCCCGTTCCTCCAAGCCAAGTTTTCCGCATGGCAAAGCCGCTCGGTTTATTTTTCGTTAAGCTTTTTAATCCCCTACATCCTGATCTTGTCTTAGCCTGGAGGGGATGCTTAGATTTTTTTTTTTTGACCTGTTCGTTCCTGAAAACCCGGTGCCAAAGTCTGTTGATAGAATTTCGCATCCAAAGGTGGTTGGTTCACAGGAGCACTGAAAGCTTTGAATACTTTTTTTGGCCTTTTTGATGCTTTCCCCTCCGCTCGTGACCGTCCTCTCCGCGTGAAAGGCGCTCGCTCGTGCGTGTCTTGGTAGGGAGTTTACCAGGGTGGTGTTCTCTGTGTTATTAAATTATTTTATTAAGATTTCCCCCTTGTAAAGAGGGGGAGGAGCGGAGGGAAAAGTTGGGGGAATGAAAGCCGTAGAGTGGTCCCTTCAGAAGAACATCCTTGAACAGAGACCTCTGGCATAACCTTTGATAATCCGCAGCATTTAGATCTGCCTTCCATGTTTTATTAAAGTCTTATATTGTTTAGTAGTTTATTTTTGGTAGAATCTTTTGTCTTTTCCTTTGGGATTTGGGGTAATGTTTTCCTGCAAAGGTCAAGCATTAAGAGACTACCCTGAATCTCTTGCCTTTCTTAAATGGAGCTGGTGACTTCACTGTTAAATTAAAAAAAACAACAACAACAAAAAACCAAAAAAACCCCAACCAACCAACCAAACAAACCCCAACCAAAACAGGACTTAATAAACCCCAAATCTTTGGTCTCTCTGCTGACTTTTTTCCCAGCCTCGAGAAGTGACTAAAACCCCTTTTTGTGGCCCGTTTTAGCCAATAAATATTTTCAAATGCTGGCGCGCAGGAAAAGCTGGGATAGTTGAGGGACCAGCTCTTTCTCCTCAGGGTGCTGGGTCCAGCCCTTGAATGTCACTGCCAGCTAAAGGCTGCTCGAAGTCTTTAAACTCACTTGGTCTCTCGCTAGTTTTAACCACAAGTGAAAACGACCGTTTTTTTTCCCCCCAAAAAACAAGTGCGGGCGGGCGGCGAGGGGAAAAATCACTCGGGTTGATCGAAGGAGTTGCCAAAATGCTGCCGGGCTTGGAGACAACCCGTAGGTAGACGCAGGAAACCCCGCGGGGTTTTTTTGGGCGCTCGTGCGCGACGGCGGCGAGGGGTTCGAGTTGGGCCCGAAGCGATTCGCTGCTGAGCTCTCTCTCTCTTTTCC